CCTATTTATAATGGTCTGGCCCTCTAGCAACTTCAGTGTGAAATTATAGCTAATTTGCCTACAAACGTCAGGTGGTCATAATAATCTGGCCACTCAGTGTATATTTTTATTGATTTCAGAGAGGAAGGGAGAGGGAAAGAGATAGAAACATCGATGATGAGAAAGAACCATTGATTGGCTGCCTCCTGCAAGCCTCCTACTAGATGTCGGGCCCACAACCTGGGCATGTGCACTTGACTGGAATCCAACCTGGGACCTTTCAGTCCACAGGCTGACGCTCTATCCACTGAGCCAAACCAGCTAGGGCATATCTCTTCCATTTTTGAGTGCCCAGAACTCAAGAATATGCTGTGTCTTTGTTCCCCCATCCTTGACCCTCTCCACCCATGCCTTCAAAGCCTTGTTCTTCCAAGAGGTAACCTTAAGCTTCTGGTTTTGTAGATGTCTTTACCTGAGATCCGACAATGTGGTAGAAGGCAACTGTGCTGAAGAACTACTACGGAACTCCCATCGAGTTGTGGAGGAGTATTTTGTGGCTCCCCCAGGTACGTGTTTCCCAAAGTTTAACAAGCTTGTCCCACAGTAAATTAAGAATATAGTAGGAACTGTATATTCCCCAAATAGAACTGGGGTGGAGACGAGTATGTCCAGTAGCAAATCTGAAGCTCAAGCTCTACCTAAAGGGGCAACTGGTATTCACTGCTTCTCAGGCAGGAATGTCCCAGAGAACCTGGACATCTGGCATTTTGTGTGATATTTCCCAAATTTTAAGTACTGGCAACCAATTTAAAAAAAAAAAAAAAAGACCATGCAAATAAAACATACCTATAAGCCAGATGTATTCTGTGAGCTATCAGTTTGCAACCCTTGGTGTAAAAATCTGCATTTTTAAACCTCACTGCAACTATTTTAAGTGGAAATTTAAAAATAACTCTGGGCCAGTAATAAAACCCAGAACTTTGGGTGGGTTTTTTTATTTCCTCTGCAGATAAGTGGGCCCTCAGAGCTTCTGCATACGTATAGATATTTGTAGCCTAAGCACTCAGGTAGATGATTTTCCAACGCCAACCTTAAGTTCAGGAGATCCCTTCAGCAGAGAATCATTCCGAGCATTGTCCAGGGCAACATCAGCCCTCCAGCTCAGGGATTACCTCTTTGATCAAGGCCAACCAGTTAAAGGAAGGCTCTGGTTGAAGCAAGGATGGGAAGGAAAGCTAAAACATGTGTGAACTCTAAACCATGCCTGATTCACTAATCCGCCTCAGTCAACTGTGGAGAGAAGTAAGACTTCTGAATCTATCTCAGAGCCTAACGGCTATCACAGTTTCAGCAGACATCCACTGATCACATGTTACTTCTAAACAGAACCTTGTGTCAGACTTTGTTTCTTGGGACAAAGTGAGTTCACAGTCATAGTCTTCCCTCCCTTCCTATATGCATATACAGTGGGGCCTTGACTTACGAGTGTCCCGACTAACGAGTTTTTCGAGATATGAGCCGTCTCTCGGCCAATTTTTTGCTTTGTTTCGAGCTAAAATTCGGGTTACGAGCCAGCTTCAGATACCCCACCGCTAGTTGGCCCAGCGAACATCACAGTGAACACCACAACATCAGCCCAGCATCACGTGTCTCACTTGTTCACTTTTTGATTTGACATACGAGTAATTTGAGTTACGAGCTCCGTCACGGAACGAATTAAACTCGTTAGTCAAGGTCCCACTGTAGATGGGTAATTAACATGAATCTGCTCCTTATTTAAAAGTGCATTACTTAGGCTTCACTTATAACTGAGTCTTTCAGAAAAACAGGTTGGTAGCTACACTTACTTTCATTGTTTATTTTCCATGACAAACCAATGATAAGTTAGCTCATAAGAGCCAGCTGGGAAAGCAGGGTCAGCTATAACATGCTTCTTTATTATTATTTTCAAACAGGTAATATCTCTTTGCCAAAGCTGGATGAACAAGAGCCCTTCTCACAGAGCTGAAGAGCTATTCTGGGAAGGGGTACACTGTGAATACATGGAAGCACGATAGTATTTTGTTGTTATGAATACTAAAGTGCCCACTTCCCTCAATAACTGGAAAAAATCGATGATTAAGTATTTTTCTTAGTAATTAACTCTTCTGAAGATAGAACTGGGAAAGATCTAGCCAAAACAAGGCAATGTGTTCCTGAAGTTAAGGTATTGTCTACTTCCAATGAAATATTCACTTTGGAAGATATTATCTCCTCCCAAAATTGTCTACCCAATTGTACTTAAGTGAATTTTTTTTTAATATAATCTGTTAGACATTGTATCTGACCACAGTGTGATAACCCGAGTTGTCCTTTTTAGTTGCTATTTCCATTGACCTGAGCACCCTTTTATCTTTACCAAACACACTTGAGTTTGTTCCTGGGTACCCACTTTGTTCTGAACAGAGGGTTAACTTTCTGCTAAATTCTGAAGAGTGTTCAAAGTAGACTGTACAGCTTTGCAATTCCTGACATCCATCCCACAAAGTGATTACATGCAAAGGGGATATTAACCACACATACAGTTTTACTTTCTGAAAAGAACTTAATGGCTTTGATGGTGGTGGGTTCAGGGGTGTATACTTAACCCCAAAGTCATTAAGTTGTATATATTAAATATTTTTTTACATGTTATACTTCAGTAAAGTGGGTTATGTAAAAAAATATAGCCCCAGGCCTGGGACATAGTTGACCCCCATAATTACTGAATTGAGCAGAATCCAAGATGGTGTGTTCACACACACACACACACACACACACACACACACACACACACACACACCCAAGACTTTTTTTTTTTTTTTTTTAAGCTCACATACCTCATAGTACAGAGAGTGGACTGGTAGTAGCCAAAGGGGATAAGGGCTGGGGGACTGGGTGAAAAGGGTGATGGGATTGAGAAGTACTAATTGGTAGTTACAACATAGTCACGGGGATGTAAAGTACAGCAGTCAATATTGTGGTAACTGTGTATGGTGCCAGGTGCATACTGGAAATATCAGGAGTGGAGAGTGGGGGACACTTTGTAAAGTACATGATTGTTTAACCACTATGCTGTATACCCAAAACCAAGACAAAATAATATTGAAAATAAATTATAATTGAAAAATAAAAGATTTTTTTAAAGTTCAGGTAGCAAGGATAAGTGAGACATATTTAGAAGTAAAAGTGATAGACCCTAGCTGGTTTGGATTAGTGGGTAGAGTGTTGACCTGCAGACTGAAGGGTCTTGGGTTCGATTCCAGTCAAGGGCACATGCCCGATTTGTAGGCCTGATCCCCAGTAATTCAGGAGGCAGCTGATCAATGATTCTCTCTCATCATTGATGTTTCTATCTCTCCCTTCCTCTCTGAAATCAATAAAAAATATATATTTAAAAGAGAAGAAAAAAAGAGAACCTGAACTGCCCTTGGGATAGAAGTTCTCAAACTATCATCAGAGCAACTACCTTAAAAAATATATATAATTGATACCAGAGAGGGAGAGAGAGAGATAAAAACATCAATGATGAGAATCATTGATTGGCTGCCTCCTGCACGATCCCTACTGGGGATCGAGCCTGCAACCCAGGCATGTGCCCCTAACCGGAATGGAACCTAGGACATTTCAGTCCGCAGGCTGATGCTCTATCCACTGAGCCAAACTGGCTAGGGCAGAGCAACTATCTTTATCCCCAAAGTTATCCATTCCTGCTCCTTACCAACTGAGCACAAGCTATCACTACAACTCAGTTATTATTTTTAATCAGTATGCTTTTTGGTGAAATCTATGAACTTAATCAAGGACAACCACACATGTCAATTATGAAACATTTAAAATATATTTCTAAACAGAATGGGTCCATTTAGTCACAGTAACTGCTGATCTCCATAGCAGAGCAACCCACAAACACATAGCACTGATTTTTCCCCCCCATAATCAGGGGTGAAAAATATACAACTTGTTTCTGAACCAAAACCACAATTTCTGCAGTTGAAAATGTTTCACTGCTAATATGGCCCTGGTAGAAATTATGTACTTTTATTTCCTTTAAAAAAAATTAAAAAATTTTTCTAAGACACTAAATCATCAATCTAGAATGTAAATTCTGAGCACAATGCAGCTCAGTTCACCTAAAAAAATAAAGAAAAAAATCCCCATCACCTGTTTCAGTAGGGCCTGAAGGGAGAGAAGTAGTGTGGGGAACCCCTGCTTTGGTATGGAGAGTCACGGCCTCTTGACCCAGACCGAGACCGTGAGTAGCCATAGCTGGTGCTTCTCTCTGGATAAACTCTGATGTAGGAAGTTTCACCCTGAAATTCAAACAAAAAGTAAAAGGTAAAATAAGACCCAGAATAATAAAGTCTACCAACACCTAGCATAACTGCCTAACAATAATAGTGATGTATTGAGCACTAACTATTTGCCTGGCACAATGTTAATCTCATCAAACCACCGCAATTCTATTGGGGTAGGTACTCTTACTAGTCCATTTCAAGAATGCTCTCATCTGCTCAAGGTGACACAAATAATAAATCGTAACTTGACATGTGTAAATGCTCAAATACTAGCTATTACTGCTAACATATCTTAATAACTGCCACTAACCCCCTAGAATCTAAGAACTGGAAAGGCTCTCAGAGATTATATATATTATATGGAGGGGCAAAAGTAGGTTTACAGTTATTCATATGGAAAAACACAGTAATAAATACAAAATAAACTGTTTCACATACTCAACTGTAAACCTACTTTTGTCCTACCCTGTACTAGTATAGTTCAATCCCCTGCTGCCTCATATGCATCTTTCAATGGGTACCTATGGAAGGAGTTAACCTGTATTCAGCATCTCCCAGGTGTCAGGACTTGGGCTAGATGCTTTAGTTTTTTCATAATTTAACTTACCAGCAAGTCTTATAACACAGTTCTGTTCTGACTAGTATTTTGCATATGGAGGAACCAGAACTGAGAGTAGCTCAGCTAAGCAGCAGGAGTCACGTTCAGTCTGGCCTTTCTCCAAGCCCTTTGCCATCAGCCACCATTTTCAGAAAATCTAAATATGCTAAAAGGAAAGAGCAAGATGCTTTTCCCCTACGTGAAGTCAATAATTGGATTTAACCTGAAGTTCTGCTTTGCATGTATTTGACCAGGTGCTATTGTATTTCTGCTCCAATTTCAAGTCCTAAGAGTTAGTCTGAGCAAAAGCATTGTTAAGCCATACATCCCTCACCCCATAACATTAGGGAATTATATGAATCCTTAGAAAAAGAAATGGGCCTAGATATTCATGTCTTTAGACATTCCTAAACCCCATAGCAAGTCAGGCAAGATAACCAGAAAAAAAAATGTCCAATTGGTCTAATATCTGTTCTCAATGGTATCAAAGGGACAGTCACCATTCGAATCAGATTGAGATATCCAAAGCAGCAGCTGCCTTTTTAAAAAAATATGTATTTTTTTATTGATTTCAGAGAGGAAGGGAGGAGAGAATCATTGATTGGCTGCCTCCTGCACGCCCCATACTAGGGATCAAGCCCCCAACCCAGGCATGTGCCCTTGACCAGAATCGAACCTGGGACCCTTCAGTCCGCAGGCCGAAGCTCTATCCACTCAGCCAAACCGGCTGGGCAGCAGCAGCTGCCTTCTTGAAAGGACATCCAGAACTAAGCCCTGAGGGTGAGGTGATCAACCACAAAAAAATAACAAGGTGGCTCAGGTTCCAAAAAGGATCCTGCACTACTTTGGGAAAGAACAATGAAGTGACAACTCTGCCCCAATAGCAGTATCTAGAAAGGCTGAGATGAGGCTGGCTTGCAGAGCCCATACTAGACCCAGAGGAGAGACAGCCATAATATTTAGGTTCACAGAGACATTAAAGATTAAGCCAGTTATGAGAAGGATGTTATCACAATAGCTCACCACATTATGACAGACTGCACAGTATTCTCTCCAGGTTAAAAATACTATGAATGCAGATTTCTCTCTGTTATGACCCTGCAGGGCTTAGGCATGATGAATTCCTTGGCTTTGTCCACTTAAGATAGACCTTTAATGGTACTGTGAGGTCATCAAGTGGCAAATGCATGGCCTATTGCTACTTCTGCTAGGTCAGCTTCGGGTGGAGTGGACTGGCTACAAGCTCCTCAACAGAAGGTAGGGACTCACCTCATGAGAGCGGAATTTGGTGTCATCCAGTTTACGCAGGGCATACTCCATGTCTTCTTTTCTGAGATACTCAACCATCCCCATTCCATCCTTCTGCACATCTGCGTAACAGACGTCTCCAGCTTCTCGCATGTGATCCTTCAGGTCCTGCCAGCTTCCTGAGGGAGGAAGTCCTAGGTATGGAGAACATAAGAGGCCAATCCTTCAGCTGTGTGAAATGCCCTGTTAAGAGCCAGCAACACCTCAGGTCCCTTCTCCATCACTACTTTTAAATCCTGAGAGTTCCCAAATCACAAATCTGGGTAAGGGACACGAAATCAAAGAGCACTAAGGTATAGGTGGCAAACCACCTTAAGAAGCTAGTCCTAGAGCCCTAGCTGGTTTGATTCAGTGGGTAGAGCATTGGCTTGCGAACCGAAGTGTCCAGGGTTCAATTCCGGTCAAGGGCATGTAATTCGGTTGCAGACTCCTCCCTGGCCCAGGCCTTGGTCGGGGCTTGTGCAGAAGGCAACCAATCCATGTGTTTCTCTCACATCGATATTTCCCTCTCTTCCACTTTCTAAAAATCAATGTAAAAATATCCTCAGATGAGGATTAAAAAATAAATAAAAATAAATATGCAGAATCAGATATTCTTAAAAAAAAAAAAAAAAAAGAAGCTAATCCTAGGCTAATCTTCCAGAACAAGCCTTCCCAAGATAGCAAGAAGTCCATCTCATTATAGTTTTAGTATCTCTTGAGAATTCATAGCCTCTTTTTCTTTGTCCCTCAATTAATACCAAACTCCCAAGACTTTGAGTTCTTTATTCCATATGAAATATTTCAGTACCAATCAATGATTTCTTTTTTTTTAAAATATATTTTTATTGATGTCAGAGAGGAAGGGAGAGGGAAAGAGACAGAAACATCAATGATGAGAATCATCGATCAGCTGCCTCCCGCATGCCCCCCACTGGGGATCGAGCCCGCAATCTGGGCACATGCCCTGACCAGGAATCAAACCGGCGACCTCTTGGTTCCTGGGTCGACGCTCAACCGCTGAGCCACATGGGAATTTGAAACCATCCAATGAAATAACCAAAATGTAATGGAAGTTAACAAAAATCTAAAGTTTTGGTTTTTTGTAGGTGTGACTAACTGACAAACACCTCTTAAGAGATCACCAATATCCTTCAATACAGTGGGGAAAGGTAAGACTCAGACGCTAAAACTAGCGGGAAGTCATACAACCCTACCTGATGTCATGAAAGGGATATGTGCTCCTGCTCTCAAAGGCTGTGTTTACCGCTCACAGCTCAGGACTGCAGCCATTTCCTAACAGTTTTCTAGGCAGGATTTCAGAGCAGCATGGAGAGGAAAAAACAACTGTATGACTTCTTGAAGGAGGGAACAGAGTCCTGGGGTTAAAAAAATTAAGAAGGCCCTGGCCAGTTTGGCTCAGTGGATAGAGTGTCGATTTTCGGACCGAAGGGTCCTGGGTTCGATTCCAACCAAGGGCACATGCCCAGGTTGCGGGCTCGATTCCCTATAGGGGGTGTGCAGGAAGCAGCCAATCAATGACTCCCTCTCATCATTGATGTTTCTCTCTCTCCCTCTCCCTTCTTCTCTAAGATCAAAAAAATACGTTATAAAAAAAAAAAAAAAGCCCTAGCTGGTTTGGCTGTGGATAGAGTGTCGACCTGTGAACTGAAGGGTCCCAGGTTTGATTCCCAACAAGGGCACAAGCCGGGGTTGCGGGCTCAATCCCCAGTTGGGGGCGTGGAGGGGGGGGGCCGTTCAGGAGACAACCAATGATTCTCTCTCATCATTGATGTTTCTCTCTTCCTCTCTGAAATCAATAAAAATGTATTTTAAGCCCTAACCGGTTTGGCTCAGTGGTAGAGCATCGGCCTTTGGACTCAAGGGTCCCAGGTTCGATTCCGGTCAAGGGCATGTACCTTGGTTGCGGGCACATCCCCAGTGGGGAGTGTGCAGGAAGCAGCTGATCAATGTTTCTCTCTCATCCATGTTTCTAACTCTCTATCCCTCTCCATTCCTCTCTGTAAAAAAATCAATAAAATATATATATATATAAAAAAATGTATTTTAAAAAAATAAAATTAAGAAGGGACACAATAGGCCAGTGATGGCGAACCTATGACACGCGTGTCAGAGGTGACACGCAAACTCATTTTTTTGGTTGATTTTTCTTTGTTAAATGGCATTTAAATATATAAAATAAATATCAAAAATATAAATCTTTGTTTTACTATCGTTGCAAATATCAAAAAATTTCTATATGTGACACGGCACCAGAGTTAAGTTAGGGTTTTTCAAAATGCTGACACGCCGAGCTCAAAAGGTTCGCCATCACTGCAATAGGCAGACATTGAGTATCACTCTTAAGCACAATGGGAATCAGCTGTGACTGTGATATTCACATAGAAAAAGGTGCCAGGCTCCCCAAGACATTTTACTCCACCAGGGCCCTAAAACACCCACAAAATGTGCAAAAGCCCCCAGGTCTTTACCAGTGTTGTTATTTCAAAAGATGAATAAACCTGAGCATATTATTTTATCACTTGTCAATCTAGATATTTTGTTCTATATTCTGAAATACAATCTGTAAGACACTAAGTTGTTTTTCTTATTTTATACGAGAGAGGCTCCTGTCACCACCACTGGGCTCACCAGCCGCCCACCAGGGGGCAGCTCCTGCATTGAGCATCTGCCCCCTGGTGGTTAGTGAGCATCATAGCGACTGGTCATTCTGCCGTTCAGTTTATTTGCATATTACCCTTTTATTATATAGGATAAGCCCAAAACCACCACAAAAACTGGTCTTTTTTCAGGATCCACAGCTGGGTAAGTTGTTTAAATCTGGCTTCTGGAATATCTTTTCAAGTTTAATATCATGGTACACTAAAAAAAAAAACCCAGCCCTGGCCGGTTTGGCTCAGTGGACAGAGCGTCGGCCTGCAGACTGAAGGGTCCCAGGTTCAATTCCGGCTAAGAGCACATGCCCAGGTTGTGGGTTCGGTCCCCAGTGTGTGGCGTGCAGGAGGCGGTGAATCAATGATTTTCTCTCATCATTGATGTTTCTATCTCTCTCTCCCTCTCCCTTCCTCTCTGAAATCAATAAAAATATATTTAAAAAAAAAACAAAACATGCTTATGTTCTAACAAGGCTACTACTGGTGCAGTTTCATTTGCAAGATACCTGCCTCACTGGCAAGACAGGGCAGCGTTTCAGACTGTCAGTTTGCATAGGCTAAGGGAAAAAAACAACCCATGTATGCCATGCACTGAAGAATAACAGCTAACATTTCTTGAGGCCAGACTGTGCTAAGTACTTTACATGCATCATCTCATTCAGTTTGAAAGAAACATACCTGAAACAAGAACTCGGAAATCAGATCTTCTTGTAGGAGGTCCATTCCTCCCACCACGGGGCCACCCACCCCGACCTCCATAAGCTCTGGGGAACTCCACACGAAGTCGACACTGGCCATAATCATAACCATTCCTTCCATAAACTGCATCTTCAGCATCTCTGCAAAGAAAAATTTGGTGTTAGTGCTGCTCAGGAGGCTGAATGACTCCCAGTGAGGGGCATAAGTAACAAGTATGAAAGGAAAACCTAGAGTGAGAAAACAAAACAGGATCTTGATGCAATACTGCTTTGAAGACTTTTCATAATATTGGAATTAAACTTTACAGCTATCACACACGGGGTTTTCTAGGTATGAAATGATAATGAATGGGTAAACAGATTACTTACAGGAGGACTAATTTAGAAACAAAAAAAAAAGGAATAAATTGCCGAAATCGGTTTGGCTCAGTGGATAGAGTGTCGGCCTGTGGACTGAAAGGTCCCAGGTTCGATTCCGACCAAGGGCATGTACCTTGGTTGCGGGCACATCCCCAGTAGGAGATGTGCAGGAGGCAGTTGATCGATGTTTCTCTCTCATCGATGTTTCTAACTCTCTATCTCTCTCCCTTCCTCTCTGTAAAAAATCAATAAAATATATATTTTTAAAAAAAAAAGGAATAAATAGATGACCGATTTTGCCAATAAAAGTGTTTAACTTTGGAGTGCAGTTTCTCAAAATGCATACCACACATTAGTCCTTTAATATTCTTCGACAAGGCCTAGTATCATCAAGTCTATAGAAAGAAAAACCCATTTAAAAAGAAAGCTCAAGCCCTAGCCAGAGCGGTGGCCTACGGACTGAAGGGTCCCAGGTTCGATACTGGTCAAGGGCACATGTCCGCATGTGGGCTCAATCTCCAGTAGGGGGCGTGCAGGAGGCAGCCAAGCAACGATTCTCTCTCATCATTGATGTTTCTATCTCTCTCTCCCTCTCCCTTCCTCTCTGAAATCAATAAAAATATATTTAAAAAAAAAAAAGAAAGCTCAAAAGACAAATGCAATTTAGTGTTTTGTGAGGAACATAAAACTCCCTCAAGCGTATGTTTCAGCATGGTTTGAAGAAGTTGTCAAGACCACTATCTGGGTACAATTTCCCCAAAAAAGATAAAGTTACTCTTAGTTTTTTGTAGGCTCTAGGACAGTTAGGAACACTAAACTGACTCTCCAGGACTGGATGAGAGAATGGCCTCCGGGCTTGGTGGACAAGCAGAGCTGAAGAGATACTAAGGAAGGCCTCACAGGCACGTGTCACTCATCAAGATTTTAGTCCTAGAATTAAAAGCAAGGAGACCACATCCAGGGCCACCCTGGCTGTATTTATAATGCAGTGGCAGAGAGGCAGGCCTGCTAAGGTTTAAAGCAGACTTTTAGCACAATCATTCTTCTGTTCTTTACTAATAGCTGTCTCTGGGTAAGTAGTCAAGTTTTCACATCTTAATCACTGATGTCTTTCTCACAAGGTTACTCTTAGGATTAAATAAGATCGTATGTGTGCGGTGCTTTGCTTGAAACTTGGCAACTAGTGATATCAAATGGTAGCTTTTCTATTATTAAAGAAATGAGGGAAGAGATAATGATGTTGCATATTATACAGTAAGTTTGTATTCCAAAAGGGCAGAACAGGGAATTCAAGTCCTACCCTGATTCCTTACTAGCATTATCTTTATCAGTTATCTAAACCCTCCGTTTCCTCGTCTGTAAAAGGTGATTAACAATACCTATCTCATAGGCTGAAAGTGCTAAATGCCTAGCACGGTGGGTGGGTCTGCTCAGAACCACACCGACCCGTTACCCCTGGACGTTACCCATGGACGGAGGTAGGTGTGAAATGCCTGTTCCATTTCTGAAGCAAATGGCAACCAAAGCCTCAGGGTGCTTCCTGCCTTCCCACCTCAAATGCTCCCCTCGCCCCCAACCACACGCCCGAGGAGCAGGGCACCGCGGCCAGTTCTTCCGGGGCGGCCGCTAGGAACCTCCGCCGCGGGGCGGCTCTGGAAGTCCCCCGTCTCCCCCGGGCGAGGGCGCACGAAGCTCGAAAAACCACAAAGACCCCTCGGGGCCCGTTGGGGGCCCAGCACTTCAGATCCTGGGGTCCCTCCGCCTCTAGCGGCGCCTCTCTCACGCGAGAAGGCGAGTGCAATGAGAGACCCTCCGCCAGCTTCGGAAGCTGTTCCAGATCCTCGATGCTTTTACAAGGACGAGCCCCTAACCGGGCGGGGCGGGGCGCGCGGACGGAGAGCGGTTCCGTCAGGGACCCTGTGTGACCCCCGAAGGCATCCACAGCCCCGCGTGTGCCTC